ATTATTCTTATCCTACCATGAAAATTCACTATCTGCTGAACATTTCAATGTTGAAATAGAAACATTCTCTCATGACTGTTAATTAAAGTAACAGGCATGATGTATTTTCCAGTAATTCTTTACAGGGGATTAACTTCATAACACAAAGTCTTAACATCCAAATCAAACCTCTTGTGTCTATTCACACATGCTTAATAATTATTTAAGTAATTCATTATACAACACTCGTGAATGACTTCAAGTGATGTTCCTACACATGTATTTTGACATATATATATTGCCACACGCATTTAACTCCATTACCACGTGTCATCACCTGCACCATTAGTGATCTCCAATAACTCTTGATCAAGCCAGTTTACCAGAGGCTCATTGATCACTTATGGGTACAGCTGGCCAATGTGTAACTCATATATTAATGTACTGACTTATCAGATCCCAAGATGGAATCTGATCCTAGAAGCTTCTGTGCTATTGGCACATACCAATGCCACACCCAGTCTCTACTTTGGTCAATGTTTTCCCTGTCTTATTGTAACACCTCTTGTGTCATATGCTGGCCTTTCCTAACTGTTGACCTACAAACTCATTTGTTTTAATGCAGACCTTAACCAGCCCACATATTTATGTAAATACAATGTGGTTCATATGCTGTAGATGTAGGACCATACATCATGTCCAAGAGGTGTGAGGTTTCTTGATCAAACATTAACAAATTCAGTGAACAACTTGTGAATTTGTTCAGTAGCACAGGAACCATTAGAATATAGGGTAAGTGTTCATACCAGTTGGTTTGATTGAGGTTAAGAAACTCAGCAAGTATATGTTTATATTATACTAAGTCTGAAGAATCTTATACAATAAAACTATGGAGACCACTAGCTACAACACACATTCCTGCACTCATAACTAATTGTACAGGTGCCATTGGTTATGTGTGCCCATGTTATATTCCTAAATCTAAGCTGGATACACAACACCTTTCAACAATTCAGGGAGTGCTCATGCTATATATGGGTCCTTCAGTTGGTCTTCCGACATCCATCTGTTAGTGAATCCATTTGTTTTTATAGCAGAAATGGTCTTAATTCACAATGTTCAGGATCTGGACATTCATTAAACAGAGAAGTTCTCACAGTCATGAGACAGTCCATCTGCATTTCCCTGTTGTGGGCTTAAACAATAAATTAGACTCCTGCAATGCTTTTACCCAGCATGCTATAATCTGTTTGGGGTTTTTAAAGTTCATCAACTATTTCAGTGAACTTTCTACCATATAGGAAGTTCTGAAAGACAATAACTCCAAGCAGTTCTCTTTTTGTCATACAGTATTTGTATTCAGGAGCCATGAGCAAACAACTAACGTACACAACAACATGCTCATCCTTTAACTGCGATAACATTACCACTGGCATCAGGGTAGAGCAGAAATTCACAATCCTATATTGAATATGCCAACACCAGTGCTTCTACTAAAGACCACTTCAGGTATTAGAGTGTGTGCCTGCATTCCTCATTCCACTTGAAATGAATCTCTGCCTTAGTAAGAGCTTGTAACAGTGTGGCTTTCTGATAGAAGTTGGCCACAAACCATCTCATGGTAATTCCACTTTCTATAATTGTCATGTATTAAACATGCATATTGGAATTTATATGTACCATTTATTTTCACACATTACTCGCTCTGAGAGAATTTGAACTCTGCTAACACTCTGTTGATATTCCAACAATTTTCAGTAACTCCTGGTTTTCAACTTTAGTAAAAAAAAAAAATATAGAAGAAAAAAGCATGTTCAATTTACTACAAAATAAATTTTCATGTATAGTTGTCAATATTTTACAATTTTGGACTTATATTTTATCAAAATTATTATTTGCTTTGTATATTATTTACAAGAAAAATCAGTCTCATTACTTCTTTATACAGACTTTCAGGAAGCACAAAATATGAAAAAGTCAGTACTATATGAATCTTGATTGACTCACTGCACTCTTTAGTCATAGAATGCAAACTGCATGTAATCAACAAAACGGTGCTAATGTAACACACAAGTAATGTGATGTTAAGAAATTATACTTATGTTGTTGTAGAGCAGCTGCTTGTGCTATTTAATGTTTTCTACATAGTCTACATTCTTTTGATGAAGCATTAGCATTTTTTGGCTTGAAATAGTTGCATGCAAAGGCTTCTGTTGACACTTTGTAATTGGAATATCGAAGCAGTGTTGCTATTGTCAGGTTTTGTAGACCAGACTCTTTACAGTAGGTGTCTGTGACTTATTGGCAATATATTTCAACAATAAACAAACAGCAACACAGTCCACTCGTTTAATAATATATTAAAACAAGTCAAATATATATATATATATATATACACACAAATGTTTGTTACACTGTTGATTATCGCAGTTCAATCCAGAACTTTAAATAATAGTCTTTTTTTTTAATCAAAGTCCACACAGGCTGGTTCAATTACTTTAGAACACAATTTGACAAGATGAATTATTCTTCTTTGCTTTGTTTTTACAATACAGTCTGTGATCTAAATACTAATTTTTTTTATGTGTATTTATACCTAGACAGAAGTCTAGAACATTTCGCCAATAATAGATATTCTGATGCATTAATGCTCAATTAAAGAAAAAGGCTATGACTTATCTAAAAACACTAGAATACTTTGAATTAATTTTTTGTCTAACAGCTTTACAACATGCCCTTTACTATTTGAGAGAAGCTTCTGTAAATTTGCAAGGTCCAAGACAAAATATGGCTTCTGGTGTTTCCCTAATAGAATTGCTGTAAAGAATTGACTTCACTAAGAGTTAACTACATGATTATTCACATTTTATCTTCAACCATAGCAGTAATATTGAAAACAAATTTAATATTAACCCTTCCTTTGCAGCTTGTGCAAAGATTCACAAATTTTTGCATGGGCCATTCAAAATGTTGAGCACAAAATGCTTGCATTATATGATATCAACCACAGTTGAAGTGTTAATGTTAGCACGCCACGAGTTAGTCAGTGACAAGCCCAATGTACAGATGCAGAATATGGAAGATTATTTTAACAAAAAAGTAACCATTCCTTTTCTTGACCACATTATCAGTAATCTTTCCTCCAGATTTGATGCAAGGCAAGCTACATCAATTCAGAAAATTGTGCCATCAAAACTCATCCAAGTTTGTTTTTCTTATCTCCATTATCAGACAAACTATAGACTTACAGGGAAGATTTGCCAAATCCTGATATTTTTGATGAATAACTACATTGATAGAAGACTGTCCCCAGACTCCTGTAGCATTAGCATGATGATTGTGCTTCGCACAATATGTGTTGGCTTGTGATTTCATAAATTAGAAACCCCCTTTCAAACATTCTGCATCTGAGCCTGTGTAATATGGGACTTGTTTGTATATGAAACTTAAGCATGAAATTGACAAACTTAAAATTTTAGTAAAATGGAAACTATGAGGCTCTAAAATATAGTTGTACTTGTCATAAACTACCATTAAGGATATAATGTTTTTAAATACTCCATTCTTTATTTAGTCTCTACTATGTCTGTATCCCAGTCTGCCTGAAGAGTTCTGGATTTAGTGAAATGCATCATCAGCAATAAATGTGGCAAATAGTGTGGTTGGAATACTCTTCTAATTCATGAAAATCCATAGGGGAAAAGATAAAGCATTTAGTATTTGAAAATATTATAGGCCTAATAGTAATAGCATAAGTCATACTCATGCTTTTCTAACTTGGTAAAGGTGTTGACACCATATGCTTTAAAATGACTAGTTTTAAGATTAAATTTTACTAAACATTATTGATAATTTAAGCAACAAATCCACTTGTTCAAGTTCCATGACCAATACAAACCCTGGATTATTGTCCCTCCTACTCTGCCCTGCACCACAAAATTTAGAATTTCTTCTTAACAAGTTCAGTCTGTTGAATAATTATCTCGATACATGAAATGTTCACTATCAGAACTGCATTCCTACTCATGTTTGTAAAACATCTACTATTAAAAAATCAAATGATGTGTCAGATTCGTACCTGAATATATAATTTAGTCATGTCATAGTCTACAAGATTCTTGTTATAAGCTCAAATGTTTCAGACGTTCAGAAAAAAAATGCAACAGTAGGTTTTAACTTACTGTAATGTCATTCTGAAACTGACTGGTTGATTAAGACACAGAAAAACTGTGGTAAATTCCTGGTGGCAATTAAACAGGCTTATAAAGAAAAATATATATATATATTACTTCAACACTTATCAGGATTTGATTATCTCCCATCATACTATGCATAAGATATTGAAAAACTCACATAAGTCAGCAAAAATATAACTTTTTATATTGAAATGGAAAAGTTCAGTTTCAATTGTGCTTATAACACAAACTGTGGATAGTGACTATCTGGAAAATTTTTTATTTTGCTATTTTCTATATTGAGAGCAAAATTGGAGGAGGAAAATCACATGTTGGTGTATTTCAACAGTGTTGCTGGAGGTAATGTAGTGGGAAATACTATGGCTCCTGGATTCCTTTAGAAAGACAAATAGTATCCAGTATATCTGAACAAGGTTACCAATCACATGGACAAGGGCCTTTTTTTGAGATGAAGAAGTAATCCATCACATTTGTACTGTCAAAAATTATGTAAAAGACTACATCAATGAATTCAGTTGTCATCATTGAATCCTAATCATATTAAGTGTCTTTGGGCATTCACCACCATATATAAATATTGTAGACCATAATTCTTACCAAATGAGCTACAATCGTGCAAGTTACTTTCCAGCATCTCGGAGAGGCTCTGCCATAAAAAACTAAGCATACTGCAGTAGAAGAAGAAAAAAAAAAGGGTTCTTAATAAAGTAGCTACTCAGTGTATAACATCTTAGTACAGCTGTCTTTATGCATAAATATATTTGCACTAACAGACCTACTGTGTGCTACTTCCTTGATGATTAAAAAAAATTCTCCCTTCTCAAACAAGCATTTTATTGAAGTTAATAATGGTACATTCACAGTTGTGAACTGTGCACAACAACCACACCTGAGTTTAATTTAGACATATGCCTCAGCTGTTTAAAACAAAAAATCTAAACACACAGCAACAAGAGCCAAGATTTAATTTTCCTGGGTTTTAATGTAATCTAGACACACTTTATACATTTCAGCTTACATATTGAACTTTTTTTTCAAAAATGATGGACTAACCTAATATTTGTAAGAAATAAAATACTTGCTACAGTCAGTGGTTTGAACTTCAAACTTGAACTCTAAAATGATAACACTGTTTCAGTCATAATGCAATTTTTGTTTAGATAACCAGATTCAGATAAAGATACTTGTCAGAATATATACATAAACCAACGAACTTTCCAAAGAATGAACACATTTTCCTTAAAGGTATAAAATCATAAAGCTGCTGCTGGTAAAAAATAAATTGAGCATGATAGTATTTATATGAAAAGATTGAAATGAGAACTTTACTAGTGTGCTTGAATAAATCAAACAGTTTTTAATCATGCTTTTAATCTTCAATATGTATAATGTTTTTAAGCTTAGGGATAAATAAAACTGTAATGACTGGTTTAACTGAAGGAAATATAGTTAAGGGAGATCCCCTCTTACTTGACCTAATGTATTAGTACAAAAAATTGCTATCTGCTATATTCACAAGTTTTGTAACATCACACTTACTTAACAGTTCTTGAGTTTTTTTTTGTAGCACATCATATAGGTGACAAAAGGTTTTACATAAAATATTTCCTAATTTGATTTTATAAAAAATTTTTACTTTTCAATTCCATTTTTACATGTATGGGTGATGACCACAGTACCTGTTGTATTGATTTGTTGAGTAATGTCTACAGTCTAAATTATTTTAATCAAAGGATAAGTTTATTGTCACTAACACACCATTCATAAGACCTATGTTGTTTAGTATGTTGCATTAGATCATAAAATAAATTTATATTACATAATACTGAAATTTCAAGATGAACTATATTTTACATCTTTAAGAACTATTAAAGTAAAATTGCAAAACAAACCAGTTGAGGTTTGTCTATGTATATTTTTTGTCAAAAAATTTAAAAAGGCCAAAGAGCTGATAGTTTTGTTTTTACCCACAAACTTCCCACTCTTTTAATTCAAAAAATTCTTGCTACTACAATATAATTAATTATTCGACAGCTGCAGTTTCTGAAATCATAATTCTACTATAATATACAAAAACTTCACATGCAACAGCCTTCAAATGTAAAAAAAAAAAAAAAATCCCCTTATAAAAGCATAGTAATCTAGTAGCACTGCCAATTAATTAAAAAAAAATATGCAACTTACAAAAAGCAAAATAGAAATAAAAATTGAGAAAAAAAAGTCCGATTACAGACCAGTGTTTATATGTACAAAATATTAAAGGGAATCCAATACTTTCATTGTTTTCTAAGCAATCAGTGAGCGATGTAATGAACTCAAGATCTGTATGCCATGGTAATTTACTAATTCAGAAAAGCATTATTCACAACATTTGAGAAAACTCCTTATAGTGACCATTAAAAGGTAAGATGGAGTGTCTAAGCTCTTAATTAAAGAAAATAGAAACTTAACTAGGAGAATTTGTGGTAAGTATTATTGAGTGGCCATGTTGCTTTAGTCACTATCCAAGTATTTAAAATGCTTGAAGAGGCTCGAGCAGTGTAATTCTTGAAAGTAGCAGAGAATCTAGTCTTTGGTTTATTACATAACAGTACATCTCTATGCAGGAGTTTTCTTTTTTGATGATCCAGACTGTGAGGCTAACAATCTTTCAGCCATTGTTCGTGCATATCGCAGCCGTGAAGCAAGTTCCCGAGAACATCCAAGGTCTTCAATTAGCTTTAGTCGAAAAGTACGAAAATCTCGCTTCTCATCAATATACGTAACAGCTCCCATAAGAGGACATAAAATAATTTTGGTGTGATCTTGAAAGAAGTTAATCTGGAAAAATAAAATTACAACCCACAAAAGTAAATCAATTTTCGTTACATAAAGCAATTCAACACAAACACATTATTCATTAAAAACAAGTAGAACTATGTAATGATACCACAACTTTCTCGTTTGAAGTAATTTTTAATTATTTGCATCAACTTTAGTTTTTATAGGAGAATAAAAAAATGAAAATGTCATTCTTCTTCAAATAAGTTTAAATAAAGTTTTGCATTTCTGTATCATTGTTGTTAGTTAATACAACAAATCATTGGCGAAATATTTTTTTTGGGAAATAAAACATAGAGAGAGAGAGAGAAAAATTCCAGTAGTACTGTACAGTAATTCACCTGTAGTGTTCCATTTGTAAGATGCAGAACAATGGCACTTCTTGTACGGAACCAAGCTCGTAGGTAGGGAAGTCGAATGAGCTCATCTCCCTCCCTAGGAACAATACTCTCTCCTGCCTTAAGGAGGTGCTCATTCATGTAGTTGCGAAAATATTTTAGAAGAGTAACCTTTTTGTTCAGTGACTCTGGGAACTTTTGTAAAGTGTAGTAACTTTCCTGCCCATCGCGTTCAATGTATTGGACATTCCTGATGAGCATTGAAAGAGAAGTTTAAAGATACAAGTAATAAATGTATTCTACTAAACATCTGAAGGTATAATTTTACATTAAACATTTCTAGCAGACAATATACTTAGATTACATATTAAATATCAACCAACCAACAATACAAAAATTGATATGAATAAAAAAAAATAGTAGAAAAACATTTATGGTAAGCTACTTACAATTATAATTTCCATAAAACTAACTATAGTGTCATGTAGACATGAAAGTTACTTGATTAGTTTGAGATAAATCTCAAACAAATAAAAAACATGTATCATCCAATAATAAATTTCAATACCATTTTCTGAAAGAAAAAAAAATCCAAAATCACATTAAAAATCAGTTTTACAACTATTTAACTGTATTTTGTCTTGGTACTAAAAGTACATTTATTATTTTAATAACAGTTTTTCTTGTTTTTTACAGAATCATAGGTGAAAAAGTGGTGTATCCTGATGTCCTAGGTATGAGGAACTGTTTTTAGGATTAAAAGTTTCCTCCACTTTATGTAAACATTTCTTTGTATAGGAAAGGGAAATAACATTTTATCAAGATACCATGAATATATATTTGACTCAGAAGGCCAAATATTTTATCTACTTCATTTTAACTTTCATCATGAAGAAGAAATTATACATTAAATGGAGAAATAAATTTTCTTCGAGAGTAGTTTAATTCTTTTTCATTTCTTCTCTTTTCTGTTTGTTGTAAATAACTTATTATTGATTTTACTTTTTCTACAGTATTCCAAGTGTAACCAACCAACATTTATCAACAAGTTGAGTAAGAAACCATAAGGAAACTTTAGTCAAGAAAGCATTAGATACAAGGAAATTTGCCACTTTTTCATCTCTGTACATAATAATTTAGAATTATAAACACACACAACTTACAACTCATCAGCTAGCAGAATAATACGAGTGGAATCGTTGAAAAGAACTCCTACACTATTGTCACACAGTTGGTATCCAAGTCCATACTTGTCTGTGTAATCCACCCATTTACTAACCCAGAAGATTGGAATAGCAGCAGGATCTAAGGCTTCATCTAAGTAATACACACATATATACAAAATCATTAGTATCTTATACTCTAATGAAAAATTTACAGACAGTTTTAGTCTGAGCTTATTTGTTTTATTACTAATTAAAAACATGAGAATTCACAAACGTAAACATTTTTTTCATGTTGTATGCTTTTAATACGAAGAACATAAATGGCTATAACTGCAGTTAAGTGTGTTAATAGAGTTGCTGTCAGTCTGCTACCATCCTTAATTTTGACTACTGACCAGAAAGAAGGCAGCCAATCAAAACCATACCACCCATAGCATAAAATTAAGGTGGGAGATATTTTGTGGTATTACATGGATTCAAACCTGGCTCACCAATTCCAAAAAACTAAAGTTTTACAACAGAGTCAACCTACCACACAAATATTAATGAAAAATTGAAAAATAAAAATGTACTTATAAAATTTGCTACCAGAAATTCCATATAAAAACTTGGCAGGAACTATACTTGTATGATTTCAGACAATCTTTCACAAAACAATGCCAACCACTGTGTATATAATATTTAAAATATAGAATATTAACCAAGTATATTTTATATTTGTATCAAACATTCTCTTATACGGTTTGGAGCATGCAAATTCCATGTTGAGGTAAAATATTTTTTAAGCTTTACTATTTGCTACTATGGTTTCTACCATCAATGTGCCATGTGACCTAGTTTTATTGAAAAATTCTTAACTGTATAATATAAAAAAACTAACATTTTAAAAAAGTTAATAAATAAAAATAACAATCTTACTCAGCATTGTTATGAATTATTTTGAAAAATGTGCAAGATGGATGTTTCAATCATGTTGGAATATTATTTCAGTATAATTTGTTTGATGATTTTCTCAAAAAGCTACTTGAGTGCTATCTGTTCTAGCCATCACTAATTTTTAAATAATACACTAGAAAAAAGGCAGCTACTCAACACCACCTACTGTCAACTCTTGGGCTACTCTAATCAAATAGAGGAATATGACTGTTACTCTTATAATGCACCAATAGCCCAAACATTTTGAGCGTGTTATTTGTTTTTCCAGAAATGGGATGCAAACAAAAGAACCTCAGGCTCACAGTCTAACCACTGAGCCATGCTTAGCCCTACAATTTAATAAATGAATATTTATAAAAACCTAAGCCTTTAGTAAAATATATAAGCACTTTTATCTTCCTTAATTAATTTCATTTACTGAAATATGTCAGTTTATAAGATTGTTTGGTTAACAACCACAGTATAACAAAAGTACTTCAACTAAAAGGATTTGCCATTGTGATTTTATCTTAACATGTTCATTTGGTTCCAACTTACAGGAATCTCATTTTTACATGAAGAAAAATATACACTATAATAAATTACTGTTTTATTTTAGCATGTGGCTAATGTGAAATTGTTTCTAAATATTTTAAAACTTTTAATACAATTATTTTTGTCTCAAATAGTATTATTTACTATAAAAGCTGAATATGACCAGATGCACAGGGATAATTTAAATTATTCAAAGAATACAAGATCTTTCCACTAAGTTTTCTTCCATACCTTCTTGCACAACTGCTTTATCTGCAGGCTTTGCTCCCACCACAGAAGTCAGCATTGAAAACATATCGCTGAGGTAATAGTCAGGAGGGACATCAGCTGAAAGATTTTTTTTTTTATGTTTTTACAATGTTTACATGCATATTTTTTTAATGTGAACATTAGACTGATGATCCAAATTTTTTTAATCTAATACATTAAATTTTCAAGCTTACATTTATACCCGATGATTGATAGATACTACACTATTTAACTCTTTCAGCATGGGCTCAGTCCTTGGGACCGACCTGATAACCATGTTGTGCTTGTTTTAGTTTTCATGCTACAACTTTTAAATTAGTTTAGCAGATTATCAGTAAACATTACAAGGCTTTTATTCATAAGATATCAGATTTTTTTTTATATTAAGTTTTAAGGTTTTTTACGTAATGTTTTTCACATGTTTCCAATCCAACATGCAAAGTAATTTTCATTTTAAGATTAAAAATACTTTTATGCATTAGAAAATTTTCAAATTTCACATGCAAAATCGTTATAGCCTCCAGATAATTATTAAAGGTTTCTTTTTTTTTAAAAGACTTTATATTTTATCACAATCGAATCTTTGTATGGGTTTGGTAGATTTGACAGATCTCATAACCACCACAAAAAAATTTGGAAATAAATATAAGTTATGCTTTTTTCGTTTAAGAATGACTACAACTTATAACTCGAAGTCACAAGTGTTTAGACTAAATAGCTTAAATGTCATAACATTACACATTTATATATATATTTATTATGTTGACCTTTCAGCCTTGCCTGGCTAACATTACAGAAGTTACAATGACACGGCGCACATGCAATCATGTTACTGTATTTAATAATATAAAATGGACCTTTAGGCTTTACAAAGTGACCTGTCTTGGCTGTGTTTTTAATGGATTTACTATTTTGCAAAATACAGTCACATTTCAGTTATAATACATTACACGTATATATACATTATTACTAGTTACAAAAAAGTTATTAAATTTATTTTTCTTAAAACATAAAACAGTAAATAAAGAAGTACAGCAAACAATTATCTCTTCTAGTTATGAACTTTGTACTCATTTACTGCTTGCCATAGGGTGCTAAGCCTTAAAATAATGTAGATGATGTGAAACAAAATATCTTTTTAGGTTTTATATATATATATATATATATATATATATAT